CTATCTGTTATTTTCTCTACCTTAACTCTATACAAGGTTGGTCAATTTGACAGACCTTGTAACCACCTAAAAAAAAAAAACTTTCCCTCTTTTTCTTTCTAGAAGAACTTCAAATTGTAACATGAATCTACATTCATTTATCCTAAGTAGCTTTAAACTTGTAACAGTATACATATATTTATTAAATATATATTATTGTTTTTTTGCTCTTTGAGCCATGTCTAACTGCTATTTGCTCCATTATAAGTTGTAAATCACTTGGAGAATATGCAGCTCACGTTATGCTATTGAATTACATTACCCATGAGCTACTCTGAGCTGCTCGCATGGGTGCCTCATGAAATATTTTTATTATAATTATTTATTTATAGTACAATGAAATGTTTAAAATTAAGACATAGGAAGTATGTACATACCTTTTAATTTTTGTCAAATAATCTTAAAACATCTTTTTCTGGTTGTAATCATAATAGCAAGTCTTTACATTTTCACATATAGTTTATTTTTAGGGTTTTATTTTCCTGTCATTTATTGTTGTTATTATTTACCAAAACACACATCCATGGGTATCCCCGGGCCTATATCATGGTATCACCGGAAGATATACTTTAGCCTTCAGCAGAATGTTGTTGCCTTGTTTACTACACTAACCCTTGTGAACCGAGGAGGAGTTGGACTATATTAATGACCAATAAATTTTAGCAAGGAGAAAAGTGGAAACAATGCTAAGAGCAGTTTGACTATTTCTCTATGGAATTCTTTGCCACAATTTTAATATAACTATTGGGATATTGTATTTTAAAACGTGCTCTTTCTATTGCTTATAAACATCTAGCTCATATAAGTATAATTGGCTGAGAAATTGTAACTCTATGTGTAGAAAGTGAACAAGGCTTCTGTCAACATATCCAATAAATTTATTTCTCCTTTCTGTGAATGTGCCCTAAGGAGCTTGAAAGAAGAATGTGTAAATAGAGCAATTAACCTAGTTTCTGTCTGTACAGTGTACATGAAGAAATATTCAAGTTACACAGACTGAAGAAAACTAAATTTTCACATCACAACAACAAAACTGAAGTTTACGAATCCTTTTAAGGTTTCTTTTTAAATAAAGGAATTAAAACTTAAATAATACAAGATATTGCATTATAACATAGATTATAATTTCTTTGAAATAAATTGACAGTAAAGTTGCTTAATTAAATTTTGGATACAACTCATTAAAAGCTTGTGTCATGCATAGAAATGCACAGAAAGGGGCACCAAGAACCATAGGGTTAATGGATAGTTCCCAATTGTGGAGAAGGAAATTCAGCTGATGAAACAAGAGAAAAAGCCCTTTAAGCATGTGGTAAGCCACATATGTTGAGCAATGGTTGCAACAACTCCGACAGTTAACGGGCCTCCAAAACCTGGCCTAAGTATGAACAATGTTCCATACTTAATCAGGACATAGTATAACTAATCATCATTTGAGATGTCATGATAAAAAATTTAAAGCTTTTGAAACAAAAGCTAAAGAAAAGGAAAATCAAAGTTTTGTTAACAGTGCAAATCTCAATAAATTGAACACAGACAAGAAATTTAAACACATCTGGTCAATACAATGCCAAAGAAGCTTCTTAAGTGCAAGTGCATAGGGAAAGCAGAGTTTGATTGTAAGGAATTTTCCAGGTTGCCCAGAAGGCTGTATTGGTTGTCCAAAAGAAAAAATACATAGACCATGAAAAAAAGTCTAGTTACAATAATACTGATGTACAAAGACCCTAAAAAGAGACCCAATTACAAGAATTTTCATGTTTTTATCTTATTTATTTCCAAAAAGTACAATTAATGTTTAGTAAGCAATATTGCATTTTTATTCAACTAATTTTGGATGCCGTATTTCTCAGGAAGTTTTGTTACATTGGAAAACAGAAGGCCAAACCATGCTAATGTTACATAGTACCTTAAGGAATCAAACAATCAATGACCTGTAAAACTTTTAAACAGAACAGTGATCTTGACCAATTACATTCAATGTTTTCATTCTAACTAGCTTGGCCTGCCCCCTAAGTACAGTAAAGTAGCCTGTAGTAAGATAGGCTTGCATCGGAACTCTCACACATACTACTATAACATAATATGTATTCAATGTCTGGGCACTGCACATGTACACATACACACACTGCTGATATGTACTGTCATTCACACTTGTAGTTTGTATTGACCTGGTGAAAGGCAAAGCTAGTCTTATTTTATTTATTCTTATTCTGTTTCATACTGATCAAAACTTTCATAAAATGTTGTTTACAGTTATCATTATTATGCTCTGTTTAATTTGTGGATTTTCCCATGGTACCTATGCCTTCTATATTTCCTAGTTTTGATTGGTCGTGTTTGTCTAATGTTAGCCTGAGGTCTATACATGCATAATCGGAAAAGGTAGTCAGTGTTTCAACTTTGACAATTAACGATGAACATTCTGAGTTCGATTTTGTAAATTTGATCATTTTAGTTCCTACTGAAGGTTTCCTGGTAAGAAGTTGAGACAGCCATGTTAGTTTTCTTGTCATAATCATCTATACTAGAATTTAATCTCAGTAAATAGTGTTATCGGTGTTCATTTTCATTGCAAATTGCTGCCTACCCATATATAAGCATACAAACATAATGTAACTAACTGAGCTGTATACACTGTACTGTGTTACCACACATAGCCATTCACACGCAGTTGAACTCTATACAAATTTATGTGCATAAAGCAGCACAGAGGTGCAGCTTGTCCACAATAAACCAGCATTATTAGCCAATTACAAAAGCAAACTTTTCCTAACATTTTCAGGCCCTTTTGGTGGATTATACCAACATGTTTCTTGTACAAAGTACAATCCTTTTTAAACAAAAAGAAATGGACCAAAATATATTTTTGTGGGGTTCAAATTTTCGAGTTTGTAGTTAGTGTGCATGGAGGTGTGTGTTGCCCTCCTACAAGTGAAGTGCTTTGGTCATATGATGACATCATCATGTAGTAGCACAAATCCATGTGAAATTAAATGGGAGTTGTCACAAGGCTAGTAGCCTGCAACTCTCTTTGAGAAAATGTGTGAACATGTGGTGAAGATAGCTGAACTGTGTGAAAAGGTGTTTTTGTCTCAGAATTTAAAATGTATTTTTAACCAGTTATTAATCTTTAAACACATAACACCAGTTTGCATACCAACAATAACAACAAATTCTCATTCAATACCAGTAATTTACCAATTAAAAATGAAAATTATAATAAAATATAAATACAATTATAAACCAAGTTGGGCAACTTAAATGTTTTTCCTAGTTCATGCCCTTTGGCAAGTATGAATTTAAAAAATTGAAGAACCTTGCTAAGCATGGACCTGGAACTCCATTATATATACATGTGTGTGTGTAAAAAAGAAAAGAAAAAAATTACAATTACCATTAGAGACACACTTATATTTTGTTAGGCAGAAACTGAGTTGGTGGTACCTTCAATAAATAATGGATTCACAATGTCATGGTTTATCACTTCAAAGTTATTGTGTCCAATCCAATGTTCAATATTTTTCTTGTTGCCAGTAAAGAAGTTATCAACTACCGTAACACTATGGCCATCTGACATAAGTCTGTCTACCAGATGGCTTCCAACAAAACCTGCACCACCAGACACCTACAAATATATGAAGTTATAAAGATAGTCAAAAATATTGTGAACAGCGATGGCACCCAAATGATAAAACAATGCATTCTAATTGTTAGATGTAGAAATTAGTTATACTCATTAAAAGGTTGGGTTTCTTTTATGTTTTGCTCCAAGTAGGCAGCTTGCTCTGATCAGAAATTAATATTAAATAATTATCCTTTAATAAAAAAAAAAGTTATATTATGGGTAAATTCTATAAAGTTAGGACAATAATCAAGTTTAAAATATGTTAATACAGGTTGACATTTATTGTACATTCACAATCATCTACATTAACATTTGTAAAGCTTAGTAAAACGGTTGATGAATCATTTACAAAATATTCACACAACACATTACTCAATTTTTAACATTAAACCCCAAACTCTGGAGAGTGAAAATATATTTATTTGGGGGTAGAATTTTATACAGTAACAACATCAACAACACACAAATTATTTGTCTCAAAATTATTTAACAATTTGAACACAGCAGACTTCTTACTAACATTTGTGAAATATGTTAATGAACTTGCAATAAATCCAATATTTGTGAGAATGGGTAATAACATATTCTAAAAACTTTGATGTTATCTATATACAATATTTAAGTCTATCCTTGTTATATAGGCTACATATATTTTTATAACTATACTATATAGATGTTTAAGGCACTTCCAAACATAGGAAGTAACAGCATGGTAAAATATTCTGCCTCACCTGGAACTAATTGAAATTATCTGAAAATATGATACAAGTGTAAACTGATGCTTACTGTAAATGTGCACCCCTGCCCCAAAGATTCAATTTATAACACAAAAACTTATTGACTGTAAATAAAATACATTATCAAATAGTAACTTCCAAAATCCTAAAATTCAGTGTATTTTTTCTTTCTTACCAAAATTCTCTTCTTATCCTTATAGTTCAAATTTTTAACATTTGGAAACTTTTTAGGACCATTCCGTTCTAGTTGAATGATTCTATTCTCCAGTTCTTGGATCTTTTTATCCATGATATACTGAGTTTCTGTATTTTTTTTAACTCTGAAAAAGTATATAAAAAGCAGATTACTTATTCTTCTGAATGTATGCTAAGATGTTTACTTTATACTCTGGAAAAACTCTTTGAAAACTCACATAAAATATATATAAACTGCAACTATAAGATCAACTGCAACTTTTATAAACAGCTATGTCTATCTTTTTGCAAAACAAATGATTCAACTTATTCACACATTTTTTTAAAAACAAAAAAAGGATGACTAAAAAATGCCATTTTTGTTGATGCTTTTGTCAAACCTTAACAGTTAGCAAAATTGCAGCTTATGCATCATATACTGCTCAAAAAGAATGTTCCAAAGCAACATTTCCCAAACTTTTCCAACTAGGGACCAGTTTATTTTTGTAATTTTTCATGAGGCCTGGCCTGGCCTCAAATACCTAATTAGATAACCTGCTAAGACATGGCTAAGTTTTAACATCAAGCTAGAAGCAATAGTTCTATCAATACATCATCGATTATAAAATATACAGGTGTTTTATAGTACTACTGTGTAAAAAAGAAATTATACTTTGTTGTTATTTAATCTTTACATTAACTGTATATTTATTAGATCTTTTAAGAAATAAATTTATCTAATGAGAAGGCTGATGCTGTTTTTCATCACACAGCAACTTCAAATCAGGAGGAAAAGTAGTAAGTTTGATCCTCAAATCTGGCTCGACATCTAATCTGTTCCCGTACTTGTTTTTTAAGAAAACCAATGTTGAGAAGCTTGTTTGCATTTATAAGTCGTGACAAAGGGCATAAGAAATCTCACTGCTTTTCTGATAAATTTGGATAGATAGCATGACAGCTCAGCCAAAAAATTAATTAATGAGACTTGACTAAAATGGTCTTTCAGTGTGGTGTCACAGGACAGTTCAATAACAGAATCAATTTCTGATTCACTGAGTTGTAATATTTCCTCATTTTCCGTGTCAACAGTAAAAGGATTCCTGATCCACATTTCACTGCTGTCAATTGAAGAAAAATATTCCTTCAAGCATGATTTTAGCCCAAAAAAGATGCTCTTTGATTGATGAGGAAATCCCATCTAGAATATTACCTTTTTCATCTTGGTTTTGTAATTCTGTTAAAGTAGAGAAAGACTTATAATTTCTCTTCTCAACTCGATGTACCCACAAGTTAATTTTTTTTTATAGCTGCTTCTATCTTTTCCTAGACATTAAAAATATTTATGTTAGCACCTTCTAAGTTTAGATTTAATGCATTTAATAAGCCATTTTAATTAACCAATGCAAATTATGAAACCTGTCTCTAAATTCAAATATTACATCCTTTGCTGATGGGGGGATGTTGCTCCAAAAACAAAATAACTTCATTCTTCATTTCGATGAGTCTTTTTAAGATATTTCCTTTTGATAACCACTGAACTTCATAGTGTAATAGGAGATGCACATGTTCACTTCCCAATTCTTTGCATAAAGGAGTAAAGATTCTGGAATTCAATGAACAAGATGTTATCTATTTTATGAATTTAACACATTCTTGCATAGTTGAATTCAAAAGTAAGGGCATTTTTCTTCACAGCTAATATCTCTCTGTGAATGCTACAATGCACCCATTCACAGTCTGGTGTGACTGCCCAGATCCTCTGGAAGAATCCTGTATGGGAACCTGCCAATGAGCGAGCACCATCGGTACTCAATCCAACACATTTTTTTCCATTGAATACCACTCTGAATTATAAAATTATTGATTAAATTAAAAATTTCTTTAGCCATTATTCTTGTTGGAAGTGGTTTACAATGCAATAAATCTTTATGAATTGTGTCCTTATAATCATATCTTACATAGCACATTAAATTGGCATTATCTGCTGTGTCTGTGCTTTCATCCACTTGTAATGAAAAAAATTGACTACAATGAAATTGACATATAAGAGTTTCTTCAATATTTTGTGCCATATCCACAATTCTACATTTCACTGTATTATTAGATAGGGACAGTAAATTCAACTGATTTTCTTGTTTTTTATAAAACGAGATGTAATTATTTTTACTGCAGGAAGTATTAACATTTCACCAATAGAATGCGAGTAACCTGTCTCGGCTATTAGTTTAGAAATTTCATATGAGGCCAAAACCACGTCTTAATTGGAAGATCTCATGGAAAAAGTGTGTGAAATTATTTGTTTGGGAAAAACTATTTCATTTTTCTTATTTATGAAAAAAAAATTATTGGCTTGCTCAAGTATTCAGGATGTCTGGTATCTAAGTGGCATTTCAGTTTCGATGGTTTCATGCTCTCATTTGATAATGTTGAACAACAAAGAACACATAGTGGCAAGTCATTATTGCTACCACCACTTATAAAACCATACTTCAAATAATCATCACAATACTGTCGAGTCCAAGAGGTCTTTGTTTTCTTTTCTTTGATATCAAGCTGCACATTATTTAAACGTTTATAATTAGGCCTATTATTTTCACTAACTTCAGTTTCACTAGAATGAGGTTGCATCTGCACATCACTTGATATTTTCTTGTGTGATGCATGTTTCTTCAGCCATCTATCCATATGGGAGAGAGGTTTTCTTACAAATAAACAACTTAAAAAAATTTTAGTTAGTACAAGCTAAGTCACAAACAATTCTCTCTCTTCTCAGAACAAACTGACACTTCTAGCACCAGCCACCAGCAACTTGTCTGCTGCTACCAGACGTAAGACTCAGGTCTCGCATACCTGTCAATTTCCATTAACAGAGTAAGCAAATTTAACACATTTGGAATAAAATTCCTAAAACTTTGGTGCTGAAGATCTTACCTGCAGACAAGGGAAGATTGGTTTGGGGGACATGTCTAGCTAACATGTGGTTTAAATTTACAGCATTTCACAAGAATCTCCAGGTTATTAACACTGTAAAACTTAATCTTAGGTTCTCTAAAGTGCACTAAATGAAAACACCTTAATTCCTGAGGGACTGAAGGTATAAAGGCAGCCATCAGCTTGTGAATTCTATAGTTTTGTAGCCTCAAGTACAAACTTTCACTTTTCCTTCCTGTTATATTAGCTTAATTGAAATACTGAGAAATCAAAGTTAGATGAAATGAAAATTTAAATTATAATGTATTTGAAAATACTAATTTTATTAGAATATATTTATATTAACTGGTTTAATTACATTTTTCTTTAATATACAACAACGGCTTGGAGAAAGTTTAAAAATGGTGATTGGTAGTGAAAGGGTTAAAATTAATTTAATGTTTTTAGTTTTCTGTAGACCAGCATTTTTTTTTATGAACCGGTACCAGGTCGTGGACCACACTTTGCGAAATGCTGTTTTAAAGCACTAAAAATGTATATACCTGTTTCATAACTAGAATTTTACTAGAAACTTAAGTTTTTTTTAGCACAATTCTTATTATATATATATATAAATATAAAGTAAAAGATACAAAGGCAACATTAATATTTAGGTAACCCAAGCTATATATATATACAATGTCAGGCAAGAATAGAAAAAATCTGAGTCTCCTACCTTTCTGATTTGCTGAGATATCAATAAAACTATTAAACCCATCAGAGGCCCCTTCCATCTTATTACAGATTTAAAAGCAGTTAGCTAAACCATGTGTCCATATTTGGTGGTCATGTTTATAACCAACAGAAAGAGTATTTTTTCCTCTATAAAAAATTAATTACGATTATTTCTCTTTGGCAGGTATAAATAGATAGTTAGGTTTAAATTCTTGGTCCGTGAACATTGTTGTTCAACTCCGAGCAGCCATTTAAATTATAGTAGTTTTGGGACATTCTCTTCTAGTGCTTATATACTTTTTTATTTTAAAATGCATAGTTGAAAGCTGCACGAATTTGTATTTAAAAACTAATTTAGTGAAACAAAGTAGGGCTACTGTGCTATGGTATCGACTACAAAAAAGCCTGAAACCAAATGCAAGTGCTAAGTTTATTGGTTTTTTATGTTTATTTTTTATCTGATATTTTATATTTTTCAACAAAAGGAACTAAAATGTAAAAATTTGGAATTTCTCAAGTTAGGTAATAAAACTTAGCTCAAATTTTAAATCAAAAGAGTTAAGTCAATCCATAACTCAATCTCGTGATATGAACGTGGTTGTAACCTAATCGTTTGCTTACCCTAAGTTTACAGGAAAATTACATTATGATTTATTGCTTTTCAACATAAAATTAAAAGTAAGCACATATGAAAAGGTCACAAGCTGAGACTATTAAGATAAATAATTGTAATTTTTTCTTTTACAATCTGCAGTCGTTTTAGAAAAAAAAATTAGTGTTAGGGTAGTGAAAAATGTTAACATCCTAGGTGATACCTCACCTTTTCACACAGAATAGCTAGAATCCCACAGTGTAATAGTGGAGGGGCTGGTGCAAACATTAAACCTAGATGAGCTCCCTTGAGAAATCACCCCAATAGAAAGCCCATAGAATGTGACACACAATGGCAAGGGCTTCATAGGGGCACACCCATGGGAGACCACATCTCATCTTGACCAGAGAATACTATTCACCTGAAAGGAAATGGAAGGAAAGCCAAAAGAGCTTCAAATGTCACAGAAATTGGCAGAATTTTTGCATGACCAGCTGAGCACCCACATGCAAGTGGTCAGCAAGCTAAGATGTTTAATGTGTTTATAATGTGATGTGACAGTACAGTGTGTGTGTCTCACCTTGACTCAGCTAGACAGAGATGGGGGTGACAAATCCTCAAGAGGAAAAGTAAGGCATCCAATCAAGAACAAGACCCCAAGAAAGGTTTCACTGGAACAGGCACATGAGTGTATGGCCTAAATGAATTAGTGATTCAAGGGAAGCCAGAGTTCCCAAAAGTAAAATAATCTCATGCACATGGTGTAAGAGAGGTACAAACCTTGGTGACAATTGTCTGTAAGGGAAGCAGTGAAGGCTGAGCTTGGAGTTGTTGATATTTGACCCAGATGTAACAAATATGACTCAAATAAAGACATAAGGAGCAGGGGCAATGCCAAAAGGAAGAGCACAAAACTAAAAGACCCAATCCCAAAGGGTGAGAATTGTCCTCCACAAACATAGAATAAATCCTGTTGTGCGAAATAACTGGTGAGAAGGAACGTTGGCAAAATAGACAGGAAGAGGAGGCCAATGTACATTAAGGAACCCACAACATGCTAAACAATGGCTGTCACGTCTTCCACAGACAACGAGCTCCCCAGTAGCCACAACAGACACAGAACCCATGTTAGGAATATCATCACTATCATGGGAAAAAACATAAGTTACTAGCACTTGAGAGTTGACAATGGGTAAACAGGAAAAAAATGTTCTTCATTTTGTTTAGAATAAAAAAAAACTAGTTAAACTTCAAGGAAATTTAAAGTTGTGTAAACTATTGAAAATCTCATGTAATTGATAAATAACTACATGTTCATTTTAGATAATGTAGAGGAAAAGAAGAAAATTTATTTCAAGTGCAAGGAATCACTGCAAAAGGAGGTTGTGTCATCCTCCTACTGGTGGAGGGTTATTGTTGCATGATGATGTAATAATACACTAGTGCAGTTCACATTAAATGTGTTTTTTTTTTAAGTGAGAGTTAGCTTAAGGCTAATGATATGCAAATCTCATAAGCAAATGCAAAAGGAATTAAGCTATTATGTGTGAAGAGGTGAAGTATCATCTCAGAATATACAATTTATAGCTTAAATTAGGAGAAAGCTTACATATGACTCTTTGGCTCATTTTGGGTATCTTCTGCTCCAAAAAGATGGTATGTAGTTATTACTGGAACAAAACAAATAGTAACCATCATATTAGTTACATTTACCACTGGTTATCAAATTGTAAATATATAATTTCTTATAAATCTGGATTTTCACTTATGTTCAGCTGGTAGTGCCAATAACTTGCTGCTACATTACACTTATGAACTGGAATATTTTGACTACAACATTAAATCTAAATATTAAGTATTGTACAAAGCACTACATTTGAGCAAATCTGCATATAAGCTTCCAAAGCCTCAAGATATAATCTTTAACTAGCAAATACACAATTCACAAAAGTAGTATGTACCTCTAATTGGAACAAAATAAATATCAACCATATTATTATTCACATCTGCCAGAAGGTTTAAAACAACAAATAAAAGTTCTTATGCATATGAGTTTTCACTTTATACAGTTTATAGAATGTGGATTTCATATTTTTTAGCTGGTACTGAGATTAAATTGCTACTTCATTACACTTACTAACCAACAGAGCTGGGAGATAAGTGGAATTTGCTAATTGATTAATTGTCAGGTTCATTAAATTATTACATTCAACTGATCAATTAATCTTGCATGAGACTAATTTTCAGTTTGTTTTGGGTTTTCATGAAATACTTTTGAACTACCTTTCATTTAATATCATAGACATCTTCTGGTAAAACAATTGAGGATTAAGTTAGTTTATAATCCAAAACTGGTGTACATTAAAATGTATCACATATGCAACATAGACCAAAACCTATGAGAAGCTGAAAATACAAATAATACCATTTTGACAAGACTACTAAAATTACAAAAACTAATTACTCATTAAAAAATAACTGTTCTTGTATTTCACATGATAAAACTAGTAAAGGTTTTTATCACAGTGTGTTATTGACAATATATAATTCAGTGAAAAGAAATTCATATCAATCCTAGGATAACAAAAACAGTAGAACATTTACTATTTGGCAACAAAACTTCTGGTTATACTAGAGGACCTCTTTGGAGAGATTAAAATTAATCAAAAGGTGGAATTTGAAGTATTATAAGAAATATTAAAATCATAGTACTATGAAAAAATTTATAATTAGAGGCTTTTAGGAAGTTTTTTAAATTTCTTCATTGTGAAAAACATAAAAATTATTAATAACTTTACAAGAATAAAAAACATAAGCTTTTAAGTGAGAAGTTATTGATATGAATGGAAGTTTAGAAAGAGCAGATTAAAAATATTGAGATGTTTATATTTAACAGCCCAAGCTAGAGGAAACTAATGAAACACATGGGTAATCCTTGAAACTAGTGATGGCATACAGTAAAGCCATGGCACTTTATATAAACATCAAATATGATGGCAAAGAATACTGTCATAAGAAGACAAAAAATTTGTAACACATAAACTCTTTCTCTTGACATTCATTTTGAACACTCATGTCAGACTGTTTACATAATTTTGCCACATACATAAACACTTGAGGAAAAAGCGAAGAAGAAAGTAGGTTGGTATCATTACAAATCTAGTTTCCTCTTCTAAGTGGTATTTTACTATTTTGTGTGGACCACTAAAAATACTGATAATTCTCTGTTTAGTAGCTTTAACATTGTATTAGATTTATTAATAAAACATGTTTTTATCATAATGTGATTCAAAACAATAACTAACATGCAGTCTGTCAAACCATGTGTAGTTTTGTTTTGAATTATTGTGTTTTAGCATCAGAGAGGAGAATGAAATTTATTACCTTAAATTTATAATAGTTTTACATATCTTAGATACTTTTTTGTACAATGTAAACAGAGAAGATAAGTTTTACATTATTTGTAAAATAAAGAATATCAATTTTTGAAAACAAAATTGTTAGGAATCTTTTTCTATATTTTGCTAGCATTAAACAATAAGTTTTTTTTCTTCTGAGTATGGTTTGATTTGCACTTTCTGTACAAGTTGACAACTAGCATATGGACAGAATGTGATAAATTTTATGCTTAAGTTTAACTTGGAAAGCTGCATATAAATTTATAACTTAACCAAAAGTATTTAATCAGTATAAAAATGTAATGCAAGTTGTTTGTTTTTGCCTTAGTGAAACCATTTTGGACACTGCTCATGTACTAAGAGCATCTTTAAGTGTAAGAATCTTCAGAATGAACCATGGCATTTGCCATAGTGTTCTCTTGATTAATGCCCTTGTGGTAGCATTTCTTTTTGCTATGGACTTGATGTCCCAATTTCTAGGATTGCATGTGCTTAAAAACCAATAAATCAAAGCACTTAAAACTTATTGTACTAGGCAATGTTTCAGTAGCATGTGATGAAAGCCAATCTTTCTGTTTTCCCCTTTCAATGCTTCTTATCTAGATAAAGCTAGTTATAATTAAGGAGTCCTGTTCATGCAAGTACATTAAGGACTTAATGTCATTACATGTTGTTTGACTGCTGTTATTAATTTATGTCGAATCATTTCTGACTAGCACAGTTGAACGAGCAAGTTATTCAGCAAACAATGTTTTTTAGCAAATAAAGAATAATGAATACTAACTTGGGGTAACATTTTTTATCAAAGCAATCTTACCCTAAGTAACACTATTTACAATTGTAGCTTATAGTAAGCAATATATTAAGTTAAAAATTACAATATTATTTAGACATACAAGGTAAACATAAACAACAGGCATCATTAAGATTAGTTATGTAACCAAAGGCCACTAGACCACATTTGTGAGTTGTATACAAGTATAATGTATGCATACCATTGCACACAACCATGCCAACAGAATAGGTTGTATCTACAGAAATATTGAATACAAGTCTAAAGAGGTTATACTTTCATTGTACAAGTCACTGGTTAGGCCACATTTGGAATATTATGTTCAGTCTTGGGCTCCTTACCTTAGGAAGGACATTGAATTGTTGGAAAGGGTTCAGAGAAGGGTTACTAAAATGGTGCCTGGGATGGAGGAGTTGTCATACGATGAGAGGCTGAAATCTCTCAAATTG